ACTGATTTGTCAATGTTGGTGTTAGGACAAGCCGATCAGAGTTTATCGTGGGTGTCAATAAGTATCTTGAAGCTCGTAGTCATAAGCTTTCTGTTGGGATGAGATTCAAGATGAGATTTGAGGGTGATGAAGTTCCTGAGCGAAGGTGTGTGATTTTATGGTTAAATCTGGGATATCATCACATCCTAGTAATATATTTCCCCCTTCATACAGGTTCAGTGGCACAATTGTGGGTGTTGGAGATAATAACTCACCTGTCTGGCCGGATTCTGAGTGGCGATCATTAAAGGTTAATAGTGACCTTTTCAATTGGATGTCTACCGCTTATCTTTTGTACTTATGGTTTTTTGGATTCAGTATTGGTTGTACATTATTAGCATATTGTTTAAGTAAATGGAAATTGATTTTTTTGTTTTCCAATGAATTTCCAGTAACTGAAGTTTTTGGCTATGAAAATGATTGATGACACATGTTTTTTTGGTCTTTTTTGTTCCTTTTTTTCCGCATATACCAACTATTCAATTCTAGATGTTTAGTGCAGTTAAGAAAGCTCAGGTTATGATGCGTTAGTTTTACACTGGGATCTCAAGCATTTATATTTAACTCTTAAAAGTGAATTTAAAGATGAACATGCTGATATATTGAGCGGCTAGAAATTGTAGCCAATTACGGAGTGGCTTTCAGTTCATTTTATTGTGCTGGAGTGTTCATTTGCTAAATTATTATTTTATGACTTACATATATTCTATTTCAGGTGCAATGGGATGAACCTTCATCAATTTTACGTCCTGACAGAGTCTCTCCTTGGGAATTAGAGCCCCTTCTGGCCACCGCTCCTGCGAACATTCAACCACCTCAAAGAAACAAGAGGGCTCGGCTTCCTGTTCTACCATCAACAGTACCTGATTCGTCTCTGCATGGTATGTTGGTCTTGGACTATTTCGTTATGCCAAACCTGTTATCTGTGCCCTACATGTTTTTTGTTTTCTTTGGATTTCAGGGGCATGGAAACCATCAACTGAATCTCCATCTTTCTCCTATCGCGACTCACAACATGGACAAGATCTCTATCAATCATCTAAGTTCAATTCTACTGCAACCAACTTTCTTGGGTTTGGTGGGAACAAATCTCTGGGGACTGCTTCCAACAATTCCATATATTGGTCTAGCAGGGTGGAGAACTCTTCAGAGCATTTTTCGCCCATAGCTCTTAAAGAATCTGGTGAAAAGAAACAAGGCACTGGAAATGGCTGTAGGCTTTTTGGGATTCAGCTACTTGAGAATTCTAATGCAGAAGAAAGTACGCCAAGAGTCACATTGTCAGAGAGGGTGGGGGATGATAGGTCAGTTCCATGTGTAGATGGTGAGCCTGACCAGCTTTCTGAACCATCAAATGTCAATGGATCTTATATCCCATCATTGAGTTGTGATGCTGACAAATCAAGTCTTCAGTCTCCTCAGGAATCACAAAGGCGGCAAATAAGGAGCTGCACTAAGGTAATATAACTCATTTGTCTTGGTCTGTTCTACAATTCATTTCTCTGTTTCTTTCCATATACTACCTTTTAACGTCATGATATTTTTCCTACCAATTTAGTGGATTGCTTCAGATTTTGTTTTTTAATTTTGTAGGTATAGAGTAATTGATGTCGTGTTATTTTTTTCTACTAGAATTTATTTGCATTGTTGTGGGCTTGTAAACAACTTAAACTATAAGCCAATAATTCCATCAGCTTAGTTTAATGTATGCTATCAGTAAATATATCATTTTGTCGTTAATAAAGTTATAGCAAGTTTTAGTATACAGCTTCTGTGGTATTTTTCTATGCTCAACAATCCTGGTTATATGGTCCTTACACAATTTCCTAATGTCTAGAATCCATCATTTTTATCCAGAATATTTTCTATGTATCTAGTGTTGGTTGTCTTGCATTTGAATAACAGAAATTGCTAATGGCATGAATGCTTCCTTAGTGGGTTCGATTTGACTTGTTTCCGGAGGCCATTAGTGGCCACTCCTCTAAATGTAAAACAAAAACAGAAATTCTTTTGCAGAGTTGAAGTGTCTTTATTCTAAATATATGGGGTTAAGAGGCCTTTTTTTTTTCAAAAAAAAAAATTGATGCTATTGGCTAAAATTGTGCTTTTCATATTGTCATTCTTGGTGCAATGAAGTAATTTGGCATTTTCACTCCATTACTTCTGGTTCCTGCTTGGTGTAATGTGGATATTTATTTCTATGCCCAGGTTCACATGCAAGGAATGGCTGTTGGCAGGGCTGTGGATTTGTCACGGTTTGTCGGATATGATGATCTACTTAAAAAATTGGAGGAAATGTTTGACATCCAGGGTGAGTTGGATAAATCCGCAAAGAAATGGCAGGTTGTCTACACTGATGATGAGGATGATATGATGATGGTTGGAGATGATCCATGGCAGTAAGTTCCTTTGATGCCAACAGCTGCTCTGGTTCTTTCATTGTTTCTTGGATGCATTTTCTTATTTGCAAGGAGAATAAATTTGTCATTCTGATGGGCTAAACTAAATATTTTCTGATTATCTTGTCAGTAGGCTGCACAATTCCCTGCAAATTGTGGGGTTTGCTTCTGATCATAAATGTTACATGCTGTTTCTCTTATTGCAAATAATTATCACAGATGCTTTGTGAGTGTATATATGTCAATGATTATTAAATTTTTTCTATTTTGTTCCAGTGAGTTCTGCACTGTGGTGAGGAAGATATCTATCTACACACCAGAGGAGGCGAAGAAGCTTTCACCCAAAACAGGGCTACCATTCAACGAAGAAGTTAAACCAAGCAAGGTGGATTCTGAAGCAGCAGTCAATAGTGATGACCAGTCATCTACTGTGGGGCCTAGCTGCTAATACTCTTGGGCCTTCTGGCATGCCCTAGCTGGTTCATACAATAAATATTGGCATGAAAGTAGGAAGTAGAATGTTGAAAGATTCGAGAATGAATTCTCTTAGTACTAGCAGTTAACCATGGCCTCCGTGCATCTATGGTGTCGTGGCATCACCTTGTGACTAGCAACATGGACGCAGTGACTTTGGAGGGATGCTTTAGTTCAGTGCTGTTTGATCTTTGTCTTGAAGATAGGATTTCCTTTATTATTGTGGGTTTTGACAGCTTGTGGGCATGGCTTGTTCAGTTTTGAGTCAGCCACAAGCATGGGAAATGTTGTATCTTGCTGGGTATGGTCCTTTTTTTTTTTTTTTTGTCCCCCTTTTGAAATCCTTTTTCCCTTCATTGCAATCCTCTTGATGTAATGATGCTTTTCATTTTTGTATATAGTTTTTTTTCCCTAAAATAACTGGATACTGCTTTATATATGTATACGAGGCCGTTTTTCCGTGAATAGAAGCTGTGCAAAATCTTGTCTTCGGATTGACATTATGATGTATAATAAATAGCCTTGTGTTGGGCTCTTATCTTACTGACTTCTCAATGTGCAGTCATGTGCCTTCTTGGCGTATGGACTGTTGTCTCTTATATTTTATTCTATTAAATATTTAAATTATTCTTGCTGGAATCTTAGAACATGGACTTGTGTCTCATAACGAGCTTATTTGATTAATTATCCCTTGTCTCAAAATTTAGCACGGGAGTTAGATCTAATAGAAGAGGTCATAACATGGTGAACTTATATTTGAATCCTAAGGTGTTTATACCTTATAGTATTTCGAATAAGATTATTTCTAATAAAAAGATACATGTGTAGGGAAAAAAAACCTTCGGTAAAAGTCTCATTTCTCTATCTTTTTTTTCCTCCAAAGTCTTTCTTTTTTTCCCCCCTTTCCCCAAAAAACTTGCATCAAGCAATCTTTAGCGGTGTTTGATTCACTTACAAAAAATTGTTTTACAATAAGACTCATTTATCTTGCACTTGCATAATGCAAATTACTTGAACTACTTTAAATCAAACATTCAAATAACTTCATATTTTTCTTGTTTTATGAGACTAGTTGGTTAACAAGAGTCTACTCTTTATTGTACATATAATTTGAAATAAGAGGAACCGGGATAATGATAGCAGCATCGAATTATTCAGCCCGAGGCAGAAGCTTCTCAATGGATGCACAAAATAGCATATTCATAGGATCCGTCCATTGGAAGTTTTCTTAAACAAAATCATTTGGATGTGTTACTTTGGCAACTATAATATTAATACTCTTTCTGCTTATAATTACCACCTCTGGTCGTAATTATGAGAGTTAGTTGACTAATTTGAGAAGATTAAAGAAAAAAATTAAGTTAGTTATTTATCATAAATATGTGTTGTCTTTCTTAAAATATCCCTACTAATCAAGTGTATTGGCCATAACTACCATTATTAGAAAGATTATCTTAAAAAAAAATACATAAATATTAGAAACAAATAGATTGAAGTTTTATATTTAGAACCAAAATAAAAATCAAAAGAAATCCTATATTAAGGACCGGAAGTAATATAAGAGTTGAATAATTTACAAATACTAAATAAATTAGTTAAGTTTATTCGTAACTGATGTGTTTCCTTAAAATTTTTTTTAAAATTATTATTCTTATTGACATTAATTTCTTTTACTATATACAATTATTAAAGATAGTTTAAAAAAAATAAAAAATAAAGTAAATTGAGATACTATACTTAATATTGAAGTAAATCTATCAATTAGTTTCTGATTGTACGAATAGCGGAAATATTAATGTATATGGAAAACTGACAAGGAGAATATCGTTCCTCTCTTCCATTTCCTTTATGGCCATATAGCAGAATATTGGTTTCATCGATTGGAGAAATTCAACACAAGATGCTAATTTTAAAAATAAGATTTTCTTTTCGTTTTTCATATTGCTACGGGACCCACCCAATAATGAAGATGACAAGAATAAATGGGGCCCATACCCGGACCCGGCTTCTCTCCTTTTCCTCCTCCTATTCACTGCTGCCATCCTTCACTTAACAGTATAGCATTGTAATGCGGACACTAGAATGCATTTCTGGAGTCATAAGGTCCTCTCACAGCCATTGTTCAACCAATGGCTGCCAACATCAGCATCGCTAACCAGCCCTTAATACGCTCATCAGAATCTGGAGTTTTAAGATATTCTTCATTCTTTAATCACTTCCCTTGTTTGCTATGATGCCCAATTCCTATTTGATAATCCTAATGAACATTATTGTCATCTTGATCATCATCGGACTCCAATTTCTTCTCGTGTTTTGAACTCTTCCTGGTTTCGTGACGATGCTCTCGTCTGTCTTTCTCCTCCTTTGACCGGTCTCTGTTGACTTCACTTTTGTTCTCATAATCCTCGTAATCATCCCGCAAACCGGATCTTCTGTGTTTGGATATTTTCCTAGAAGACTCTCCATCTCTATCAAATGAACATGTGCCAGATTCAGTATCACTGGTTGAATATCCATAGTCCCTGCTCCTATTTCTAGAGCTTCTGCTTTTCCTATGCCATTTCTTATCTCCATCCCTATCTGACCAATCCCCAGATCCAGCCTCATCATTGTTTCTCTGCCTTTTTCTTGAGCTCCTTCCTTCACCACTGGGCCTTTTTTTCCTGTCCCCAGTTACAGCATCTGAATCCACATCAGAATAACCATCTTCGTTTCTTCTCTCATCATCCTCCTTCCTATTAATTGAGCATTTTCTACAGGGTTGATGGTGCTTTTTTCTGTCCCCAGGTGTTGCATCTGAATCTACATCAGAATACCCTTCATGGCTTCTTTCATCACCTTCGTTCCTAGCAGTTGAGTGTTTTCTATGGTGGTGATGGCGCTTTTTGCTGTGCCCAGGTGTTGCATCTAAATCCACATCAGAGTAACCTTCGCAGCCTCTTCTCTCATCACCCTCGTTCCTCGTAGTTGAGTGTTTTCTACAGCAATGATAGCGCTTTTTACTGCACCCAAGTGCCGCATCTGAATCCACATCAGAATAATGTTCGTGGCTTCTCTCGTCACCCTCGTTCCTAGTAGTTGAGTGTTTTCTATGGTGCTGATGGCGCTTTTCACTGTACCCACGTGCCACATTGGAATCCACATCAGAATATCCTTCGTAGCTTCTCTCATCACCATTGTTCCTAGTAGTTGAGTGTTCTCTATGGTGTTGATGTCGGTTTTTGCTGTACCCACGTGCCACATCTGAATCCACATCAAAATAACCTTCGTGGCTTCTTCTCTCATCACCATCGTTCCAATTAATTGAACTTTTTCTGTGGCGAGTATGGTGTTTGCGCCTATCTTCTTCCCTATCCGACCATTCCCTAACAGTGTCAGAATCAGAAGTTCTACCTTTCCCTTTATGCTTGTCTTTCAAATTGGTAGTTTGTTCACATATTTCCCCATCACGAGTTCTGCTCCATTTTCTTTCATCTCCACGTTTTCTTCTACCAGAACTATTGCTATTAAACTCTCCAATCTCCCTGGACCTTGATCTCCTCGAATGGTACCTATAAGAGACGTGCTACCGTAAGGACCAGTATAAATTGCATGCTTAAATCTAAAAGAACCGTGGGGAAAAAATAAGATACATGAGAAAACAAGACAGATTAACAAGCTTGAACTTCAATCCGTACAAAACTACTCCATGCATATATCCTGCACATAACAGAATTTTTAAGTTGCCAATGTCAAGTTATTTGACATGCACACTGGTTTTGATGCAGAATGGCTAGAAGCCAAGCTGCATAATATAATCTGTGAAACCTTTTCTTGGATTTTGAAAACAAATTCAAGACAATTCCTATAATTGGAGCGTTGATCCTATTCACAGGTTTATAAACAAAGCAGGAATTTTGAAGAGTCTTGTCAATGGAACGGTCACCATTATTAAGACCCTTTTTCAAAACAAGAGAATCATTAAACCCCTTTTACTCAAATCTTCTTCCGTCATGCCAAAATTATCTTGTTTTTGTCCAGCCAACCATTGAATCCATAACATCTTGATAGACTGAGAATGAAAAGTTTGCATGGCCTTTTGTTCTTGTCCCAGTTGTTGATGACAGACTTTTTTCACATATCCTCTAAGAAAGTTGAACGTTCAGCACACCTTATGTTGGGTGTAAAAGTTGATAAAGAACTTTAAGAGTCTAGTATTTAAACAGACTGCGTAGGAAACTAATGTATGAATAGGTACAACTGTCCAACGAGGTTTATAGCATTCCACTTAATAGCTTGGGATTAGATGGCAACAAATACATTGTTAAGCATCAAAGCATCAGAAAGGAAGCAATTAATAAGCCAGCTAACATATATAAAATAAAGCATGGTAGGAGAAAGAGTAATCAGAATTAAAAGCGCACCTGTGTGAATCTGCTTTCTGTATTTTGCTTGAGCTCTTCAGATCACTAGCTTGTTGCTCCATCAATTTCTCATGTTCATCAGAATAACCAAATAAAGCAGCCATCTTTTTCACCCAATACTTTGGCGGTGGTTTGTCAGCATCAGCCCATTCATAATCTCCTCCAGGATTACGAAAACAGTGGATAAAATTGCAAGCTGAACCATGGGAACAGGTCTGTTAAGGTGAAAAATGGAAGAAAAAAAAATCAGACTAATATCAATATAAAGAGACGGCTGAATGATGTAGGACCACTAACAAGCATAAGCAAAAGAGGAGAGGAGAATTAAATCATGGAAGGAGGTAAGGGAGGGAGGGAAGGGAGATATAAAGAAAGGAAAGAGAGCTAATAGAACTCATTATAAAAAGTTGATTAACAAAAGCGAGTTCTAGTGAGTACAGGGCTTATATATGGCCCAAAGGATACATATAAACAACTAAACAAAATATTATGATCTGAAGTCTTAAATTATAAAATCATAACAAATTAGTCAAATTAGAACATGATAAGATAATCAAGGGTAACTAGTTCTAATCCTAATTTAATGTCAATTAACATGATGCTGATCTTATTTAAAATCTTGTTTCTAATATTCACTGAAAATTTTCAATTTACAAATAGTTAATTTTAGATTTCATAATTTATATTTATCCTCTCATAATAAAGCTATGATATCTTTTATCAATCTAAAACATCTTCCGCCATGTTATTTGATGTAACTAATAAAGAACACAAGCAATATGATTGGCAGCAACTCCTGAAGCCAAAAGAAAAATAAATATACTTCACATGAATAAAATTGAACCTTGAACCCTGACTTCATATACTCCCCACATATTGCAACCTTCCATCTGGTCACGTTCACAAATTCACATCTAATCTGCCGAGAACAACCAGGTATATCAACAGAATAAATGTCAGGAAACCAACTATTGTGCATTTGATCATGAATATTCAAAGTGACCAAGTAACTGGAAATCTTTTATTGAAAGAAAAACAGTATGGGCCATGAAAAAAATCTATACTCCAATTTTGTATAGGAGATGATACATAATTTCGAATTCAACCTATTATCCTATGATCAAATGTCTCATAAATTTCCAAGCACTTGGGCAACAATCCCAGCATACTTAATGCTGCTGTGTCTTTCCATATTCCATCCTAAACCACCACGCATCGAGAAATTCATCGCTAGAAAAGTTCAACTGCCACAAACATTCGGTACAAAACTGAACATTCCTTAGCCTTATTTCAACCTGAGTTCATTCTCTTATATAGTTTTAAAATTCATATGTCTTTAAGGGATTTCAATTCCAAAGGAGCTAAATAGAACCCTGAACATCAAGCATTCATTAATGCAACAAATAGGAAGTTAAATAGATTGTCAGACATGGCGAAAGTGAAATCCTAAGATAGACCAAAGGCCTATAAACTACAATCATATTTAAAATTTTCGTTATATTTGTTCACACTAGGGATTCGTACCTGTTTTCCAGCAAAGTAACGACCATTGATTGAGTTATAGGCAAGGACAGCAGAGTCCATTGATTTATAGTGCACATAGACATTTCCTCGCAAGTGAAATGAACCATTTTTACATACCTGACAAGAATAAATAGAAAGACAGCACTGAGATTGCAAGAGATAACATAAGCAAAAGATGAGAGAGAATCAGGAAATGGAAGCAGCCCAAAACCCTCAAATTGTTATTTTTGCAACATAGATTATGCACCTTGGATGCAATTATAGTTTTTCCTCTTACTTTGCCAAATTAGGAAACTGATATCCCCTTTTGGTCCTCCTTAGCGGCTTTTACAACAGAGTGGGTTGGGTTAGAAAAGGAATGGGATGACAGGAGGAGGTAAGAAACTGCTCCATACAAAAACCTCAGCAGTTGGATTGAAAAATAAGGCACTTGAATTAATGAAAAATTAAATGAGGGGCAGAAATACAGACATTTGCACGTGTAACTGCTATCAAGAGGTTCTAAAAATTTAGGAGCCATATTGACTAAGAAAGAGCTGCTTGTTAGTGCACTCAGTTTAAGAGCTATCAAGAATCTTCAAAAACAACAAGCCTTATCCCACTAGGTAGGGTCGGTTACATGAATCACACGACGCCATCGTGCTCTGTCAACAACCCAATCCTTAGATATGTTGTTGATTAGGAGGTCTCGTTCAATGACTTCATTTAGCGTTCTTCTCGGTCTTCCCCTGCTTCTTTTTATGGGACTCCATTTTGTTTGATCCACCCTCCTCATCAGGGCCTCCAAAGGCCTTCTCTGCACATGTTCAAACCATCTTAAGCGATTTTCAACCATTTTCTCTTGGATAGGTGTCACACCGACTCTTGCCCTGATCTTTTCATTTCGACTCCTATCTTTTCTTGTATGACCACACATCCATCTCAACATCCTCATTTTTGCTACTCCGACTTTGTGCTCTTGTTTTCTCTTTATTGCCCAACATTCACTACCATACATCATAGCTGGTCTTATAGCAGTCCGATAAAATTTTCCTTTAAGTTTCTCAGGTACCTTCTTATCGCAAATAACTCCGGTAGCTTTCCTCCACTTTAACCAGCCAGCTTGTATTTTATGAGAAATGTCTCCATCAATTTCCCCATCCTCCTGTATAATGGATCCTAGGTATTTAAACTTTGATACTTGAGGAATAATTTGCTCTCCCATCCTCACCTCCAAATCCCTATTACCTTGCCTCCCTCCAAAATTACAATGCATATATTCTGTTTTGTTCCTGCTCAAACGGAAACCTTTCGACTCCAAAGTCCTTCTTCATGACTCCAAACTAATGTTAATCTCTTCTTTTGATTCTGCCATAAGAACTATATCATCCGCGAAGAGCATGGACTTAGGGATTCTTTCTTGAACAGGTTCAGTTAGGACATCCAGAACAATATTGAACAAGTACGGACTCAGAGAGGATCCCTGATGTAGGCCAATCTTAATAAGAAAGTCCTTTGTCTCCCCCCCAGGCGTCCTTACACTGGTAGTTACCGTCTCATACATATCTTGTATGACTTTGATATACGCAACCCGTACACCTTTCTTTTCCAAAACCTTCCACAATACTTCTCTTGGCACACGATCATAAGCCTTTTCCAGGTCAATAAAAACCATATGTAAATCTCTTCTTTTACTTCTATATCTCTCCATTAACCCCCTTAGTAAATACATTGCTTCCGATGTGGATCTCCCTGGCATAAATCCAAATTGGTTTTCCAAAATAGAAGTCTCCAATCTCAACCTATATTCCATCACTTTTTCCTACAACTTCATTGTATGACTCATAAGTTTTATCCCCCTGTAGCTTGCACAGTTTTGAATGTCTCCTTTATTCTTGTAAATAGGAACTAAAATGCTTTTCCTCCACTCATCCGGCATATTTTTAGAGCGTAGAATTTCATTAAAAAGCTTGGTTAGCCACACCTCCCCCTCATCACCCAAACATTTCCAAACTTCAATAGGGATACCATCAGGCCCAACGGCTTTTCCATTGTCCATTTTCTTGAGAGCCGCCTTAACCTCTCTGATACGTATCCTGCGGTAGAAAGCCAAATTCCGATCATCTTCGTTAATTAGCAAGTCCTGAGTTGCATAGTTGCTTCCCTCATTAAACAACTTGTAAAAGTAAGCCTCCCATCTGTCCTTAATATCACCATCAGTAACTAACACTTTACCATTTTCATCCTTTATACACTTTACTTGGTCCAGATCTCTCTTTTTCCTCTCCCTTTGCTTCGCGATCTTGTAAATATTTCTTTCTCCCGTCTTTGTTCCTAACTCCTGATAAAACCCTTCATAAACTTTAGTACGTGTTTCGCTTACTACTTTCTTTGTCTCTTTTTTAGCCAACTGATACTTTTCCCGGTTCTCTACACTATTGCACAAGTGCATGGCCTTAAAACAATCTTTTTTCTGTTTGACTTTCTCTTGCACACTCTTATTCCACCACCAAGTTTCCTTATCTCTTTGACCAGGACCTTTGGATTCTCCCAAAATTGCTTTAGCTATCAAACGAACCCTTGTAGCTATCTCTTCCCACATCATGTTTGCATTTCCCTGCAACTCCCAATTCCCTTCCTTCAAGAATCTTCATGCAGGTTAAAAAGGAGAGTCAATCGTAGTGCACCCATAGTAACTCAAGGGTGTTTCTTTGGGTAATCTAACTACGGGACAACTAGTAAAAACAGGGTTTCATTGGTCACTTTAATTAATACATTCATCTTTGGATAATTTTTTTTGGGTCCTTTTCTTTACACCTTAACTTTGGCTCCCCATATTTTCCATATGAACTCTTTTGCTAAAATACGAATCAATATTAATATCAATCAATAATCAATAATATAATATAAAAATTATAACAAACTGCAATATTATGTGCTATGAATTGTGCATCTCATTTCTCAAACACCATATTATGCAAGGGAAAACATGTCTAGTATGATATTAAATGAGGACTTCACATTTTAGGTAATGCAAACACAATATGGAATAAAAAAATAACCTTAAAGTTCACAATTTCTCCAAATTTCAGGAACTCTGTGTGAACATCCTCATAAAATTCTTCAAAACTATGTTCCACCTCTTCGTCTGTATACTGAAAATAGAGAAGCAAGTCAAACAAAAAGAAAAGAAATCAGATGAGAACAACAAATAATGGAGGAAAGATTTTAATTATGAATCCCAATCACCCAGTCATAGATGCTATTTTTAGAGTCTAGGGTTCCCTAAAAGATCCACATTGATATCATAATCTTTCTAATATTCCAAAAGCTTTCTAGTGATTTGCAAAGCAAATTGCTATTACTACAAACTGAATATGAGCAAAAGATAAAAAGGACAGAGCAATAAACAGGCAATTCAAAAGCCAAAGTTCCAAACTACAGCTTTAGAATGTTGAATTCCGAAATTCAGAAGTCTATGATGATTCGTTTTATATTTAAATAGGAGTAATATAGAGGAGATAGTTTGAATCGAGGAATCAGCCCAATAAATCTCATAAATCAAGGAGGAAGACAAGGAAATACATACATAATAGACATAACATGAGACATGGAAAAAAAAAAAGGAAAGAAAAAGTTGACCATAACACTAAAATCCTATGAGATAAAGAAGGGAGAGTCAATAAATAAATATGCTCATAGTTGAGAGATTCAGACACTCCTCAAGCTGGTCACAACTAAGAGTTAGCATTGCCAATCATCGTCAAAAATCCCATTCCAGTTTAAGCATGCAAACTAGACCCACCAATCTTCTCTCATTGTTGGGTTCTTTTGATCTTTATTTCCAAGCAATGTTTGCACCAATTTACATTACTCCTTGAAAACGGATTATTTTCATGCCAAGGTATTTTCTTGGCGGTCGTCATCATAGACTAACTAGTTCCATCATTTTGTTTTGACTTCCAATTTGCTAGTTTGTCATGAGTTTCCTTCCATTGTGTGACTGAAGTCACTAGAGTGGTCACATCATGCATGGGTCTGCTTTTTCAGATTGAACTCAGTTCCTAAAAAATTGTCTCTCAATCAACAAGTGCCACTTATTCACTGGAACTGAAATTGAAATGTATCATTTACTTGTTTCTAGCATCCTCATGCCTGACCCTTAAGAAAAAACTGAGTGAAGGAAGTGTTCTTGAAAGAACTCTCCCTCCAGCTCCATCACAGCTGCTGTCAAGGCCTATCAAGAATTTGTATATTGCTTCTCAACAATTTTTTGGCAGTTGGCTATCATGGCGGCAATTTCCAACGCACCAAGTTGACTTGTAACATTGATCTAGTAGCACTTTTTCTTGTCCCAAAGTCATCTACGAGGCTTTCAGTTTCATAGGCTTCAACAACACTTTCATGAGTAGAGTAGATTCAGAAGCAGATTCCCACATAACATGGGCGGGCTTACAGTACATGCAAAGCTCCCTGATCTCTGCACTCATGGCCTTAACCAACCACAAAATAACAAGACTGTTTCAGCATGCCATTTCTTGTACTTCAAGTCATGCTTTTCAGGAGGAAAAACTCTGCCACTTAAGTATTCCTCTTTACCTTTACCCCTTGCATGCATCAACTTAGATTTAATCCATTCAAGATAATTGTATCCATATCCAATGAATTTGTAGATTGTAAGTGGTAAGAATCATCAATGCTGAACTGAAACCTCCTGGGTCAGCGACATCATCTCTAGAGTTTCCTCTACCATGCAGCACTATTTCAAAAGTAGCCTCCACCTTTATTTGACACTAGGGATTGCCTCATACCCCTATTTAGTCATATGAGTGATTCAAGCTAGTAGGCTTTTGTTCTATAGCAAATGAAACAGAAAGGATGAAGGAACTCTTTTCTGTTTTAAAATTTAAAGCTGAGCGCAGGGACAAGTTGAAGGGAACAGGATAATGAAAGTCCAGTTCAGATAAAAATAAGTTAAAACCTCTGTTCTCAAACATGTAAAACAGAGAGAAAACATTACAAACTGGATATGTATGTACATATAAAGCAACTGGAGAACAATAAATGGGCAGTTTAAAACCATACTTCCAAGCTTCGGTTTTAGAATAATTAAAACTTTGTGGATGACAAGTCTGCTAAAAGCTTGGGCAACTTGTTTCATGTTGATATGGATAATGTCATATGAAGAAGCCATGAAAATAAAATTACGAGTTATGAGTGGTATCCCCTCAGACTAAAACAAAAGAAAGCTTAGGTTTGTCTTTTAAGAACCACTAACTGCATCCATGTTTTTTTAGGTCCTGCTACCTGCAATATCAACCCTTTGGATGTCATAACATTAGTCTGCAACACAGCTCCACAACCCATGAGTTGGATGTTGCCTGACAACTACTCATGGTTAAGGAGAATTCTTGTAAATTATTAGCTTAGGATATTCAATAACGTGACACACATCAAAAAAGTTAATATGAATTCTCAGTATGCATTCTCCATTGAAATGCTACATTGACATAAAAGCAATTGAAACATCAGGGAAATACAAGTGTCTTTTTTTCTCAAACAACAAAAGTTATATAAGGATGATGATGATGGTACTACTTTTTTTCCTTAAAATAAATTCAATTAGAAGATTGAAAAATGTAGAAAGAGGGGCAAAAAAAGAACAAAAATAAGTCAAACAAATATCATTGAAAAGAAAGAGCAAGAGAACTGTAAGTCACAATAAAATAACTAATTAACGAAAGGAGAACGTGAATATTTGACAGATATTCCCATGTTAAGCAAGTAGGATACAGGTACAGCATCTATTATCTTTAACTTCAATCAACCAAGGGCAAAACCATGAACCTCCACCGAAATGTGCCTCGCAATCTATCTCTGATTATGAGAGAGTCAAAGAACAGGAGAAATACCTCTAAAAATAAAAGAAACAAATGAATACCTTCCTAACCAAAGACATCATCCGCGGCATCCAAATGAAGAATTTCCAAATTGAAAATATTGAAAAATAAAAAATAGTGCATTCCACGCAACCCAATTACACCAAACTTCTGAAGATGAAAGGTGGGGAGGATACAATCTTTAGCAATGCTAAAATCACCGTCATAGAATAGACCAATTTAACTTGACTTCATTTCTACTTAATTCTTTCAAAGGAAATAACAAAAATAAACTCTAGCACCTTAATCAGACATATGCCACAGCAACATAAAAAAATTAAGTTTCACAAACAAACAAAGAGACAAATATATATTTAATAACCCTGAATAAAGATAATTTGTTTCAAACCATTTATATTCTAAGTTGTAATAGGGAACTACATTTAGGCCAAAATACTCAAAGGATAATCTATTGTTCAAACACCAAAGCAAACTATAGAATAATTATCTCAGAAGAAAAAAAACGAAGAAGATATTTGGAACTTCTAATAGGATACAATGAACCATTAAAGCAGCATTAACAGACCTCAAGCCCCTCATCTTGCTCCCAAACAAGGCCTGGACCAGTGTACATGTTTTTCATAAGAAGTGTGCTCGATTTATCAGGGTAAAAATGGACTCTGCTACAACGTTGACCAAATCGACATGTGCCAGTTTTCAAATGGAAGGGGCAATGAGCTTTATCCTGCCACACACAAGTATACAAAGTAAAATTTTAGGATATATGACACCTAACAAGCATATTGAGATGACAATCACAGTGGAAATGGGCATAAAGTCAAGGTTACTGGATACAACACATTTTTTATATCACCTAAAAGAAAGAAACCTGTTCAGTCCCAAAATTTGGCACTTGTTGTGCAACACTCTCAAGAACCTGCCGCGCAGAAGCTGCTGATGAATTTGTGTAATCAGCAAAAACTTCGGATTCCGGAGGTAGAGGATTTGATGTAGGTTTGTCAGCATCCTGAAGTGCAAGGACATCCAACAAATGCACAATGATTTACCACCAAAGTTATAAAACTGACGACAAACCTAATTGGGTAAAAGAATTAAAAGTAAATAGAGAATCACCTCTCTTTTATTTTGGTGGCTTGAATCCTTCTTGGGAACCCTCACTTTTTTCTTTTTAAAAATGATCTCGTTTCCTTGCCAAATAATTTCAGCGGGACCTTCCTCCACATATTCCCATTCACCATCCTCATTCAATTCGGTCTCCTTCTCTTGCTGCAGAATATAATTCTAAACTCATTTAAAAAGAAAATTCACTGTATATAAATAGATGCATCAACGTATTTGAATATGCATATGGTAGAATCATAGTTTCCAACCTCAGACCATCAAATTCATGTGACTTTTTTAAATGCAAACTCTCTCAACAACGAAAGGAAGTTCAATACATAATAATGGCGTACAGTTCACAAATGAAATGTGAATAAAAATTATTAAGACAAAGATTAATAATCTTAACAGAGAAACAAAATGATATATAGGAGAAATAAATTTCTTAAAGAAAGGAACAAGCCAAATACCTCACCAACCTGTTGCTTATGAGTGTCTTCGAGAAGCTTCCTCTGCTCTTCTTCAGCCGCCTTCTTCATCTTCTTCTCCATAGTCTCAATCCACGCCCTTTCTCTCTCCTCAAACAGCTTCCTTTCCCTCTCAACCCTCTCGGCCTCTTCCTGCTCCATCAGAAGTGCTCTTTTCTGCTCCTCGGGATCGTTGAGCCGAGCCTGCTCTTCCTCGCGCTCCTTTGCTGCTATCTCCTTCCTCATTTGCTTCCGCTTCAGTTTCTTGATGGCCTTCCTCTTCTCCTTCCGATTCGTGCCTACCGGTAATGCGACCGTCTCATCTTCTTCGTTCTTCTCAATGCCCGTAGGCTTCTCTTCGCCGTCTTCCTCCTTCAATGGTTCTTCCATGGCGTCTTTCTCTCCGAAGAACTCTAAATTCGCTCCGGCACCGCAGGCTTCTGCAGGACTCGTAACCTCTGCAAACCAGATGGTGTAAACTAAATTACGGCACGGGATCTCTACTTTTCTCTTTTCCTCTATTGATAAAATTATTATTATTTTTGTGTAAAATTATAAATAAATTTAAACTATTAAAACTATTTAATATAAAATTTTAATAATTAAATTATTTTTTAATTTTCATAATATAATTGTAATAGTTTTATAAAATATTAAAAATAAATCATAAAAGTATAATTAAAAAAGGAATAAAAAAGTTTAATATTTTATAAAATTATTATTCTTTTATATAAAAAATTTAACTATTAAAAATTTAACTTGAATAATTTAAAATTATTGTGAAACACCTTGCCAAAAAAATTATTGTGAAACAAAGTAAAGTGTATTCTTTATAAAGTACTTTATTAACAGTTGACAGCTTCAATTGATTTCAGCATGTTCAAACTGTACTAGGAAAAAAGTAAAAAAAATTAATTTATAAAATATTTTAATAATAAAAAGAAAAAATGAAAAAAAGGAAAAAAAAGTTTCTTATTAAAAATTTATTAATAAAAAGGATTTAAATTAGAGCAACAAAACTTTGTGTATACAAAATTTTCAAGGTAGCAATAATTCCTGTATAAAAAAATTTACCAATAAAATTTTTAAGGGAAAATGAAAGAAAAAGAAATTAGGAATTTGTAAATGTCAAATAAAGAATGTCAACAACAATTTATTGTCATTTACAAATTTAATGTTATCAACACCAAATGAAATATTGTTACCAAACTTGATTTAAGATTTAATAATTTCTAGTTTCTTTTTTTGTCATTCTCCCATTTTTAATGAATGACTTTTTTCAATTTTTTAAGAAACAATCTATGTTATAAAATATTTAAATAATAGTTTAGAGTTTTAAACTATTAAAATTTAACTTGATTTGTAGAATTGTGGGGGGGAATAAAAAACTACCTTATAAAGTATTTTAATAAAATTTTTGTTATGAAATATAATATTGACATGGATATCCATATATCTCTCTATTTTAATAAAAGGGCATGTAACTCCCAAAATTCTTGTAGTTTATTCCCTCATTATACATTCATGAAATACAAAACTTCTTCACGTTTCATCACTTCACACTTCTCCTGATACAGCTTTTGAGTTGTAAAGTTACATTTATAACCTTGAAGGTGAATGACTGGCCTCTCTTCTTTCTATTTTTCTACTCATCTCTATAATTATTTCATTCTCTTGGCAAATATCTCTTCTTCTTCTTCTTCTTCTTTTTCATGATGGGTTATCAATATGAGTCTCTTACTTATTTGTGAGGCATAGATGTTAAAAGTTTCTCATTTATCATTTGAATGTTTTTATCCGCCATACAAAAGCATGATATTTTGATTTCCTTATCATATCATATACATGTTTATGTTTTATAGCTCAAACTAGTGTTTACTCCCCATGCATCATTTAAAATGTCTCAAAAAATTGAACCCATGCTGAAAGCACTTGCTTGCTTCAATGGAGTTACATAACATCACTATCAACATTTATAAAAATCTCCTTGTAAACAATCATTGTTTTCAAGTAGCCATCCTTGATATCAACAAGTTTCAAGTCTTTCTTTCCCCTTACTCTAGATAATGCAATATATAACTGGCTGTGTGTAAAAATAGGCTTGGGTAGATAAAGTCTAACATGTTCTAATGATTGTCCCTGCCTTTTGTTGATGATCAAAACAAAGAATAAAGTTATTGGGAATTGTCTCCTTTGCATTTTAAAAGGCTAACGACTTATCCATCCTGTAGATAATTACCTTTTGGGTTGAGCCTTGAACCATTTAAGGTTATGGCTTGAATGATGGGATATTTGAAGATGCATTCCATTACGCAAACTTGATGTTTGATCTATGTTTCTCAACAACATTGTTAGCACTTGAACTTTCAATTGTAGCTTGTGCAGTGGCATACCAGAGCAGCTAATAGTATTTAGGAGAGATTGTTCGTGGTATCATTTTCTTCACTTGATTTGCATCCCCTATCACAACTAAGGAGCTCAAAGGATTCTCCGAGAAGCATAGAGCCCATGTGATTATTTACTCTGTTAACCAGTTCAATTATTGGCACCAAGATTACCCTATAATTAAGTAATCGTTGGACATCAAATTATCCACAACGTTTGGATAAGTACTGTCCATAATTGCATTGAGTATATCAGTGTTAGTTGTGAGTAAGAACTTAGTAGCGATTTTGATCTTGGCAACACCATTATGTGGTTCCCCTAATTAGCCATCACCAATATTTAATAACCAATTTAAAGACAATTTTACCTTTTTCTTGTTACTATCAATATTGGTTGAAGTCAACTGCATATTCTTTGTTAATTTGAAAATGATTCAATGATTCCATAGTTGTGAGGAACTAATGCAAGCATTGACAATAATAGCTCTTGAACCTTTTGGTATGATTAGTAGAATTTTACGAAAATCACCACCCATGACAACATATTTACCACAAATTGGTGCATTGCAATGAATCATGTTTTTCAATGTTTTGTCAAATGCTTAAATACAAAATGTTTAATCTATTGGTGCTTCATCCCAAATTATTAACTTTATACATTTGATGAGATTATCTAGTACTTAATTTTGCTTTATTCCACAAACTGAATATTCATTGATTTGAATAGAAATTGCAAACTTTGAATGTGCTGTTTTCCTAGGTGACAATAAGATTTCTACAATCCTACTAGATGTAATAACAAGTATTATGTGTCTTTTCACATACAATATTATGTTTGGTGAATTCCAAGGAAAAGTCTTCCTAATTCCATAATAACCATGTACGAAGAAAAAAATATCTTGAGGCATATTTGATGTAGATATTATTTTCGCATAAATGATTTGCTGCTTATTATTCAATTTCTGCACAAATGTATTAGCCTCCAACTATAGCGCTTCTTTATCATAATTCAACTCTTGTAAAAGATGATTCGCTATGTCCATCATTAGAGTTCTTGCAAGTAATGTCAAAGATGAGAATTCTTGAAAACTCTTCCCATTAGCTCTGAGTATATTATCAATCTCTTTTAAAGCTGGATTCTCTTTATTAACAAAATAAATGTGAATATCTATAATAAAGGGAAAACATTGATATATAATCATTAAGATATAAATAATTTTAGACATAAATTTTTTAAAAAATTAGTAATGTCAAATGTGACATACTTGACACCTCAGGATCATTGTGAGATATGTAAAGCAAATCTTCTGAAAATAAATATGATGTCTCCTTCCATACAATATTGGGCTATTGCAATGAACAACATAATAATATGCTAACAAACAGCCTCCTCAACTGAGATCCAAAAGCTTACATGGATGCTTTTTTTTTTTTCATTTTAGTAACATATTGGTTGTCACTATCTAATATCTCACGTGCAAAACACACAGCTTTAAAAGTGTTGTAAATAACGTCATCAACTGTCTAGATATCATCAAATAATGCAAGACCCTTAACCTTGTCAGCAAAATCCTGAGTTAATATAATTCTCTTGATGATGTGATACATGTGTAATACGTCTAGCAATAAATCCTCTCTCTCACTGTGTCCATTGATGTTTATCTTTCTGATAATCATAGTGATTAGAAAATTTCACATATGTTAGAGTTAAAGCCAATCTACCATCTTTATTTATCTTCATCTAAGCTAAAAACTGTGATTCATAAACTCTTGGCTTTTCTAATAATCCGATAACATCATCAGTGTGTGAGTAAATGACATGTTGTTGATTTGACAAGAGGAAACTCAATTGTTCAACAAGATGATAACAATGATGGATACCAAATCCAAATATACGCTATGCTGCTTGACATGTGGAGATATATCTAAAATTGTAATATTATTGGATTTCATCATCTACCTCATTCGCATTTAAGTTCTTATCAAATATAGTGCCAATAATACAATCATTATCTTTACTAATATATTTGAATAAATACTTTATTAAGGTAGAGTTATTGTATTTTTCAATATTTATATGTGCTTGGAACATATAAAACAGTTGACGATTATATGGAACAACGTAATGATTGTCTAAAGGGATACCTTTAACTTCAATAGTTCTACCATCATTTATTCTCTATATGTTGGATAACCATCATCATCAATTGTTGTATGATCATTTCATTTCTTTGGAAAGTCTTCTGAAATTTCTTGTCTTTCATGCAAGGTGATTTTGGTTTTACTAATCCACAAGAACCATGGATCATGTACTTCTTAATTAAATTGTATAGACAAGGTGAAGATTGTTTTGCAAAAATAACTTTGTCAATGTCTTTAGAACCCTTGATTTTGTCATTTGCATCAAGAAATAATATTATTTGTAGAGTCGAAAAAACGGGTTGAGCCTAAATGTCTAAGCTCATTTAAGTCGAGGGGCCAAGCTTGTATTTTGGAGTATTGAAAGGAAAGTTAGGTTTAAAAGGGCAAGCCTTGGAGGGCTGAAAAATAAACGAGCCGGCCCTGCAGGGCCATGAACCAGCCGGTTTAAGCCCGTTTAAGTCGAGGACCGGACTTGTATTTTGGAGCTTTGAAAGGGAAGTTAGGCTTAAAAAGACTAGCCCTGGAGGTCGAAAAATAAATAGGTCGGCCTGTTTAAATCCGCCAACTTTTTTTTTTAATTTCTATATTTCTTTCCAACTTAAAAAAGAAAACCCTAACATTTTACACATAACACACTATTAGTTTTATTCACCCCAGCAGCATTCACAAAAAAAAGAAAAGAATCACTATAGTTGTTGGAAAAATAACAAAAAAAAAGGTGAAAATTACAAAATTTAAAACTACAAATATTCACAAAAATATGTTACTATTTATAACCTATCAAAACCTGTTAAAATATAGTATGTGTAATTTTATGGTCTTTATTGTCATTCTTCCGTATTTTTTATGCTTGAAATAAAATTAATTAAAGAATATTTTGAATTAAAGTAAAGATCTATATTATTTTTATAGTTAGAAATGAA